CCTAGATATTTGGAGGACCTTAAGCGTGGATTTTTAAAATAAATTATTCAGGATATTTGGAGGCCCATAAACGTGGATTTTTTAAATAAATTATTCAGGATATTTAGAGGCTATCGAATCGGAATTTTTATATTATTTCAATGATTTCTATATTTCCCCTTAATATTATTTTCTCCAGGGGAGTGAGACAACAGCTTAAATGTCTCCATAAAAGTCTAGATTTTGACATTACTACATCATGTCAGTGCCTGCAATGAATTCTATTTTGGCTTCAATGGCTTTAAAACTTCACAACTTATGAAAGGTAGAAGACGATGCGTTTCTCTTTTTTCTTCTTCCTCTACGTCTTGGAATGATACGATAGGATGTTGAGGATGATGATGACGCTGATGCCTGATGACAACAACGACGACGATATGATGTCCAAATGTCATGATGACAATAAGGAAGCCAACGAGAGAGTTATTGACAAACCGATCTGAAGGAAAAACAATCGAAATGAAACTAAGCTACTAAGAAAAATGAAATATAGACAGTTTAGTGAAATATAGAGGAAAATAAATCAAACAAGATGACAGGAAGGTAAACAACAACAGCCAATCGAACCGAACACAGGCAGGCACACAAGGAGCCCAACGTTCGTATGCTGACAACAAATGACAACAACAACAACTACAATAATATATATTACAATGAAAAATTGCTAAAATAAAAACAAATAAAACAACAGGCCTTTTCTTTTTAACTAAATTCACATTTTTTTATTTATTGATGATTTGTTTTGTATTTATTTTTTATATTTTTTTTGTTTTTCATTTTTAGCAGAAAAATAGACTATGTATAAAAAAAAAATTGTATAGACTCTTATGTTGTTATACACAAAATCATAATAAAATAGCAATAAATAAATTATGATAATACAATAAAGACAAAACACACTTATTTTCAAAATGGATACTACAATAAAAACAATAAAAATTTGTATATAAATTAAAAAATAAAATTATAATAATAATTAAAAATTTAACAACAAAAAATTGGTAACTAAACTAAAATTGTAACTAAAAATGTTTTTTTTTCTTTTATGGGGAATGTTTGGAGAAGAGAAAATTAAACTAAATTATCTAAAAAAATATATTTATATAATTACACATATTTTAGGTGTTATTTTTAATTTAAGAGATTTTGAAAATAATTTATTTAAAACATATTGATTTTTTTCAATTTTACATAAATTTTTTTTTTTTGTAATCATTTTTTATAACAATATTTTTATCAAATAGACTTTCATATGTAGCCAAAAAATTTTTGTAGCTTGTAATTTTGTCGAGACTACTCCAGAGTATTTGGGGGCTCATTCCTGCTTCGAAATAAAAATTGTGATTATTTTTTAAAGTTTTGCTGGAGTATCTACTTCATTTCTACTTCAGAATTAATAATTTGAGGGCGCCTCAAAATATGCTATAATTTTGTTGACTAATTGCTTTAATAGTCCACTGGATTTTTTCTATAATTATTGAATAATGAATTTTGTCACAAAGTGTAATTTCAAAAAAAACCACATCTCGATTTTTTTTTACAAAATATATATATTTTAAAAATTCAAGCCTGGGAGACATTTTCAAAAAAAAAAAAAATCTATCCGGTAAAGTACCATATATAGACAACCGAAGTATCCCTTTTTCGTAGGTCATCTAATGCAGATAAAAATATTGGCATGAACAAAATAACAAGAAATCGATCATTTACAAAATTGAGATGAAAAAACTGCAACCACTTTCAGGCTGCTGTCATTTCTAAGTCACTCGTCCGACAGCTGTTAAAATGTGACAGCTCATTATATTGTTTACAAGTGTACAAAAACATTTTGGTGAGAATTTTCCACAACAGAAGTAATTCGTGATGGAAAACAAGCGTGATAGTGAGATTTCTTTATGTTTGGCTGGAAAACCACAAGTGGCTATCGTTAGAGCACTCCAGCATTTAAATGTGAATAAATCTTTTGTGTCTCGTACCATCGCTAGTTACCGACGTCAAGTAAGTGGACGCAGAAATGGTTCGAAAACCGCAAGCGATCCAAAGCCGCGTCGTAGTGGCCGAAAAATCGCACGTTAGCTGAACATATCGCAATATTCCATTCGGCAAATATGGAAAATTGAGCTCGGTGTAAAACCATTGAAATTCCAAAAAGGGCAATGGACTCGAAGGAGCTAAAGAGTTGCTTCGCTTGACCGAAAGTGGTGAACTGCCGAATTTGGTTTCCTACGATATCCGATGAGAAAAAATTCGTTGTCCAGCTGTTTGTAAACAAACAAAATGATCGTGATTACTTGCCAAAGAGGTCAGCTGAAATGTGCACTTTCGGTTGGCCACCAGAACTAAAGCGCCAGCCATGGTGATGTTGTGGGCCGTCATAAAAGCCGATGGTCGCTCCCCGCATCAGAATATATGCCCAATATTATCTCGAAAATATTCTGGAGGGTGTATTAAGACCTTGGACTCCAACAGGACTCAGCACCATTGCACTCCGCACGCGCCACCCAAGAATGGTTACAAAGGAGGTTCCTCGTCTTCATTCCCAGCGCAAAATTGCTTCTAAAATCTCCGGATACCAATCCGTTGTATTTTTATCTCACCCTGTATATCTAATTCTATGTGAATTCATAAACTCCATATTCATCTCAGGTTTCAGGTTGAGAGAAATGACTGACTGACTTGTTCCGTAAGCATATAAAATTATTGGAAACTGTGTTATTGGAAAGAGTTGGATGCTTATTTCGCTATCTTTGAGCGATTTCTTTTTCAAAATCTGGAGTCCTATGTGGGAGATGTACCAGATGAAATAGTCCGATCTTTAGCATTTTTATAACAGATCTTCTGTTGAATGAAATATTGAGATATACCAAGTCTGAATATAATCTGATGTTAATTTCGCGTTTTATGAGCGTCATGGATATACCAAATTTTGACCCTTAGTAAGGGAGGTGCCAGAAGGAGTGCATCAATATACCCAATTTTCAAAGCAGATCTTGTGTTAGTAGAAGTAATGACATGTGTGAAATATGAAGAGAACCGGATGCTTATTTCGGAGTTTATAATCGATTTGGTTATTCAAAACTTTGACCCTTTGTGGGGGAGTTATCAGAAGGAATGGGGCGATCTCTACATCTTTATAATAGATCTTGTGTTGATGGAAATATTAAGACGTGCCAAGTCTGAATGGAATCGAATGTTAATTTCGTGTTTAATTTCTTCACAGCAGATCTTGTGTTTGAAGAAATAATTATTGAAATATGAAATGAACTGGAGGCTTATTTCGGATTTTATAATAGTATTGCTAATTCAAAATTTTGACCTTTGTGGGGGAGGCATCAGAAGGAATGCTCCGATCTCTAGCATCTTTATAACAGATCTTGTGTTGATAGAAATATTGAGATATACCAAGTCTGATATTCATGGATATTCAAATTTTTGGCTCTTTGTGGGGAGATACCAGAAGCAGAGGTCCGATATATTCCGTCTTTACGCCAGATCTTGGGTTAATAAAAATATTGGAATGTGTGTAATTTGTAGAGAACCGGATGCTTGTCTCTGATTTTATGATCGTTTTGCTAATTCAAAATGTTGATCCTTTGTGGGGAAGATATTTGATGAAGTGGACCGATATTTTCCATTTTCGCACCTGACATTGAATTGATGCAAAAATTAGGATTTGCAAAGTTGGAGCAAAATCGGAGTATGCTGAGGGAGGTACCAGTAGGATTCAACCGATATTGCCCTCTCTTCGAACTCGATCTAAATTTGACAATAACATTACGATGTACCATGTTTAGACCAAATAGGATACTCCCTTCGAGAGTTATGCGCACCAACCAGCCAGGTAGACATACGGAACGACGGACATCGCCAGATCGGCTCCAAATGTCCTGAAACGGGTTTGATCCAAAGATACCTAGAGTCTAAAGCTGTTATTTCTTTGAAGCACGTTTTAGCTGTATCAAATGATATATAGACATATGACTGAGTGTATAATAATCCACGCCTTGGAAATATTTTCAAAAATATTATTTAAAAAACCCCCCAATTTGGAAATTTTTTCAAAAAAGTTATTAAAAAATCGAAGCCTTGGAAATATTTTCAAAAAAAAAAAATAAAATAAAATAAAGAATCCACTTCTTTAAAGTTTTTTCAAAAAAATATTTAAAATTGTCTACGCCTTAGAAACGCTTGAAAAATATTTTCAAATAATTTAAGCTTCGAAAATATAGGTTGTGGTTATTCTTAATTTTATTTATTTATTTATTTTGACAAATTTATAAAAACCGGTGCTCATTAAAAAATCCACGATTTTTTAATTCTCGTTATTAGAAAGCATATTCAAGGAATCCGCAGTTTTTTTTTTTTGAAAAATGTTTTTGAACCGATCCATGCCTTGATTTGTTTTGAAAAGTAATTTCTGTTAAAAAAATGTCATGAAAATGCATAAAAATATTTTTAGAAAAAAATCCAGGTGTTGGAAAGTCATCAGAAAATTAAAGAAGAATGTCATGCACATTTTTTGAATAGATTATTTTTCCGCAAAAATCTAAGCCTTGGAAATCCCTATTTTTTCAAAATATGTACACTTTGAAAATCCTTTTTCCTAAATATGCAATACTTGTTGGCGCCTCAAATTATGCTATCATTTTTTGCTACATTCTTTAATATTCCTGGAACCAAAATATAAGGATTTTTTTGATGTGTCATTAATTTAGATTTTGGTATTATTTATAATTAATTTAAATGACCTTATGGCACAAAGGGAATTCTTATGACCTCCATTTATGTTTATTTATACATATATATTTATAAAAAAAATACAAAATTGTGCCTAAAATTATGCTACAAAAATTCATAGATTTTGAAAAATAATATACAAAAAAAACTGATTCACTGGGTCTAGAATTTGGAATGATTTAGTTACGGAAAAAATACTGTGTTTATTTAAATAAAATTATCTAAAAAGGGAAAGATCTTCCTTTCCCAACCTCATCCCGTCAAAGTTTGTGTGGATCGCACCAATGTCAAATCCAAAACACCCACACTTCCCTTGCCACATTCCAATTCAGGTTCAGGTGTTAGACTTTTATTTGTTTCCTCCTCGGGTGATTGACTATGCCTACTTTTCAGCGACAAATCGATGGGCTCCTCTTGAAACTCCCCCTCCTCCCCCTGGTCATGATCGCCTCCACTTAGTTTGTGGAAAGCATCTTGACTTTTGAGGGCGGGTAACATAAATGCCGGTGGTGAGCCGGCCAGAGCTGCTGAACTGATAACCGTTGAGGGCGGTGGTAGTTGGGTAAAAGCAAACGGGGCAAATGGACTATGTAACGGTTCCGAATGACTACGAAATATTTGTAGAAATTGTTGTCGTCTTCGTTCCCGCTCATCGGAGTCTTCTTCGCTAGTACCACCGTTGTCTAGAGACTGATGGGCCGAGTTGCAGTTTCTTTCCGATTTCAACAAGTGCTGTTGATGCTGATGAAGATGTTGACTGTGTGTCGGATGACTGTGATGACGCAGGCTTGCCGTACTCCGACAATCGTCGGTGGGATCACCGGCCGAAGAGGCACCGGAATCACTGGGTGTATCGCTGAGGCGGGATTCATTATGGCTTTTATTGTTGCTATTGTTATTATTGTTGTTGCCGGAGGACATTGATTCCGAGCCATTGAAAAGCTTTGCAGGATTGAGAAAATTACTTAAATTACTCCCCACACTCCCCGCCAGGGCATTTACATTACTATTGCCGTTGTTATTGTTGTTATGGCTATTTGTTCCCGCTAAACTGAGGGCGGCTCCTCCAGCCACCGTACCGCTTATGGCTGACTTAATACAGGGATTTGTCTTATCCTGATACGTTTGCCTCGCATGTATCTGATGTAGCCTGGCCAGTTGTTCTAAATTACTATTTGAGTTGCCACTGCTATTTTGTCCCGACCCGCCGCTGCTATTTGTTTGTTGCTCTTGCAGCAGACAATGGATTTTGAACCAATTCGATCGCCGGCCATATCGGGAACCACTCTTCGACATTCCCACCAGTAGACATTTACGCAGACGACAGGCTTTGCAGGCGGTACGATTCTTTTTGTTAATGACACAGTCGCCGTTGTTTTTACAGCCGGCAATGGCGGAGATGTTGTTGTAGGTGCGGCCAAAGAATGACTGAAATGAGAGAAGGGGAGAGATGAAAAATATTAGAAAAATAATTTTAAAAAATTCTAGACGCTGAAAATGCTTTAAAGAATACTTTTAAAGAATTCTAGGCCTTAAAAAATATTTAAAAAAAAATTCTAGACTTTATAAAAATATTTTTAAAAAATGCAGGCCTTGATATATTAATAATTAATAAAAAAAATATTTTTAAACTATGTTCCGCCTTGGAATATAATATTTAAAAAAAAAAATCAGACCTTGATATATTAAAAAAAATATTTATTAAAAAAAATATTTATTAAAAAAAATATTTATTGGAAATGCTTGGAAAAAATATTTTTAAAAATTCCACGCCTTAATAATGCTTGAAAAATATTAAAAAAAATATTAAATAAAATCTGCAACTTGGAATTGTTTAAAAATATTTAAAAAAAAATTCACGGCTTGAATTTCCTCAACATAATATTTAAATAAAAAATCACACTTTGATTATTCCCAAAATTATTATGTAAACATATGCACCTTTGAAAATACTTCGAAAATATGTTTAGAAATTATCCACTCCTTGAAAATTTTTTTAAAATAATCCACGAATAGAAAATGTTTAAAAAATAGTTTTTCAAATTATCCACACCTTGAAAATATTTTTAAAAATAATACACAATTTGAAAATATTTTAAAAAATATTTTTGATACTAAATATTTGAAAATATTTTTAAAAATAATCCACGATTAGAAAATGTTTAAAGAATATTTTTTAAAATTATCCACGCCTTAAAAATATTTTTAAAAATAATACAAGACTTGAAAATATTTAAAAAAAAAAATTTAATACTAATCCACGCCTTGTAAAAATAATAACATAAATATTTTTTTTAAAGATTCACATGTTAATAAAATAATAATAAAATTTTTCTAAAAAAATCCACGCCTTGACAAAATAATAAAAAATTAGTTTTTTAAAAAATTCACACCATTGTTGTTCTACAAAATATATATATTTTTTTTACAAAAATTCACGACTTGGTAATTCTAAAAAATATATTTTTTAAAAAATTCAAAAAAATTATTTTTTAAAATATTCACACCTTGGTTATTTAAAAAAACATACTTATAACAATTCCACATCTCGTTTATTTTTAAAAATATATTTTTCAAAATATCCATGCCTTTTATAGACTTCATCTATAAAATTTTAGAGGCCCCGGAGGCCTATGAAAAATTTTCTGTAAAATTTTATGGGCCCCGGGGGCCCATGATAAATTTGATATAAATTTTTATAGGCCCCGGGACCTATAAAATTTCATATAAAATATGAAAAATTTTCTATAAAATTTGATAGGCCCTTTAGGCTTACGAAAATTTCTCTATAAAAGGTTATAGGCACCGGGAGCCTATGAAAAATTATACTATACAATTTTGTAGGCCCCGGGTGACTATGATCAATTTTCTATAAATGTTTATAGGCCCCGGAAGCCTATGAAAAATTTTCTATAAATGTTTATAGGGCCCCGGAGCCTGTGAAAATTTTTCGATAAAATTTTTTAGGCCCCGGTGGCCTATGAAAAATTTTCGATAAAATTTTTTAGGCCCCGGTGGCCTATGAAAAATTTTCGATAAAATTTTTTAGGCCCCGGTGGCCTATGAAAAATTTTCGATAAAATTTTTAGGCCCCGGTGGCCTATGAAAAATTTTCGATAAAATTTTTTAGGCCCCGGTGGCCTATGAAAAATTTTCGATAAAATTTTTTAGGCCCCGGTGGCCTATGAAAAATTTTCTATAAAATTTTGTAGGCCCCGGTGGCCTATGAAAAATTTTCTTTAAAATTTTGTAGGCCCCGGTGGCCTATGAAAATTTTTCTATAAGATTTTATAGGCCCTGGGGGCCTATGAAAATTTTTCTATAAAATTTTATAGGCCCTGGGGGCCTATGAAAATTTTTCTATAAAATTTTATAGGCCCTGGGGGCCTATGAAAATTTTTCTATAAAATTTTATAGGCCCTGGGGGCCTATGAAAATTTTTCTATAAAATTTTATAGGCCCTGGGGGGCCTACAAAAATTTTTCTATAAGATTTTATAGGCCCGGGGGCCTATGAAAATTTTTCTATAAAATTTTATAGGCCCGGGGGGCCTATGAAAATTTTTCTATAAAATTTTATAGGCCCTGGGGGCCTATGAAAAATTTTCTTTAAAATTTTATAGGCACTGGGGGCCTATGAAAATTTTTCTATAAAATTTTATAGGCCCTGGGGGCCTATGAAAATGTTACTATACTATTTTTGAGATTCCGGGGGCCTATGAACATTTTTCTATGAAAGAAGTCTATGATACCTAATTTTCTAGAAAATGTTTTCAAAATTAGCAATTAAAACACAATTTAATTATCAACTTCAATTTTTCTGTTATTTGCCTTTTTCAGCTGGAGTCTGGCAAAAAAAAAAAATGGAGCATCTCACCAGAGATGAGTTCAAATGTACCAAGCTATTAATTATTTGCCATTTACCGAGACTTTCTTTGATGGGCGTGCTATTTCGAAGAAAGAAAGAAAGAAAGGCAAATTACATTTTAAAAGCCCCAAAGCTGTGGCGCATCAAAAAAAATGCCTAGATTTTTAATGTCTTATAAATAGTTGAGTTCAACTATAATTTTGTTATAATTACATCTTTGGCTTTGATTTGTTCTCATTTTGAGATTTTTTTCCTGACTTACAGTAAAAAGCATTTAATAGGTGTGGTGTTTTTTTTCTCATGTTAAAATGTAATTAGAATTAATTACATTATTTAAAAAAGAAAATATCACAGTTTTATACTCTCTCCTATCTCTCTCAGGCTTTAATGGGATTTTAATTTTAGGGTTGCCCTTGCCAATGAATTTATAAAAATATATAGGTCTAGGAGGGTCTATTAGCACTTCAATGAAATTTTGTAGGTTTTGAGATCCATAAAAGTCTAGGATTGAATTTTCTTGATTTATTTAAATTATCCAATTTTCCAGTCCTAGGTCCCTGGGACGATCCTGCACGTCCCTGTTTTTTTTTTTTTTTTTCAAATAAAATTTTTAACATTTTTTTCCGCCCAAATACCCTAAAATTGTAATTCTGACCATTATTAAAAGACCTGATATAACCATTTAGTTTTCTTAGCTGTTGAATGCAGTTTAGACTAATCCATTGCCTGAGCTTAATTTTCTGTTGCTGCAGCTAATCTCCGAGAACGTTTTGTAAATTATCTCAGATAACAAGTGTGAACATTTACATAAATCTACATACAGATTAGCCAGGGATTTTATTATTTTTCCACTGAGTGTACATTTTTTTTTTTTCATTTCAGTATTAATTAAATTTAATTATCATTTCAAACGTTAAATGGGCATTGAGTTCGAAATGGCAAGCAACCCAAGCTAAGGCAATGGAAACTGGCTTTACAACATTGGAGCTATGGGGTTTTCTATTTTATTGAGGTAAGTTTTATAGAACTAAGAACTTGGTTGAGTATTTGTTCTAAAATGGCAATTAGATGAACTGAAGAGGTCGGGCATAGGAGATTCGTTGCCCAGCCCAACAATGTAAACAAACAAAATGATAGTGCTTCCTTGCCAAAGAGGTCAGCTGAAAATGTGCACCTTCGGTTGACCACCAGAACTCAAGCGCCGGCCATGGTGATGGTGTGGGCCGCCATAATAGCCGATGGTCGCTCTCCGCTTGTATTTATCGGACGTGGTATCAAAATAAATTCCGCATATTATAGCAAAAATATTCTGAACATTTTGGCCGCAGACCTTGGGTATTCCAACAGGACTCAGTCTTGAGTATTTTGGAAATCAAGGATGGCACTAAAAAATACTAAAGTGTCGATCACCTCAAGCAAGCGCTTTGCCGAGAATGGGCCAAAATACCGCAGAACAACATTCGGGCAGCGTGTAACGGTTTCATTGGCCGTTTGAAGGCCATAATTCGTGCCAAAGGTGTCCAATTCGAACAAATCTAAACTTATTCTAAAATTTGATGCTATTTCCGACATTTTTTGCTTGCATTCAATAAAACTTAAAAAAATGAAAAAATTATGGCCTAAGACTCTGTTGCAGTTTTTTTTTATCTCACCCTGTATTTGTTGGGACTGATATTTTTGATTTAGCAAAACTTATCCTTGGTAAATTTTGAATTTTTCCAATTCATCTGAAGGGCTCAATACATATTCTAAAATCGAAATTCTGTTAAAATAGAAATCAAAGTAAAGTTGAACAAAGGCGAGATATGGGGGACCCTACCTAAGATTTATATTTTACTTGGAATGAATATTTAAGCCGGGTACTGACATTTTTCTTTTGGATCCAGAATAGCGAATATTGTCTTTGGACAATTTTGAAATTTTCCAATACAATTTAACGGCTCAATAAATTTTCTCTTGGGGTTGATATTTCAGTTGTGATTGATATTTAGGCTTTGGGTCCTGAAAAAAGGTCAAACTTTTCTTTGGAAAATTTTAGATTTTTCTACCAAAACCATTAGTTTTATCGCTCCATACACTTATTGTTAGGCCCCATAATTTCGATTTTTTTTACTGCTGTTCTACCTCCCCCTTTAAACCCATCACCATCTGTAATTCTCTTTTCCAACACTGCCTTTAGCCAAGAACTTGTTATTTGATGGTGGGGCTGCTTGGCGTATTTTTCCATTTGAATGGCTAATGCCACATCTGGTTGTTGTTGATCTTAAAGACATATAAAAGAAACAACAATAGCAACAACAACAACAACTTGTTGATGTATGAAGATGGTTACCAAAATGACCTTGACTTTTTGATTTGAGCACCAGTATGCAAGTTGGATTTCAATTTTTTTTCTTCTTCTTCTTCTTCTTCAACTGGAAAATAAATTGTATATCTTTTGTATGGCCATTAGCTGTAACAGCATCATCATCGTCATCATCATCAACATGATGATGATGATCATCATCATCATTATCATTTGTCATGGTAGCTGAGTGGATGCTTTACCCTGAACACATGCT